TTGGAGCTTGTCAGCTCAGGAGTCAGATGGAGCAGCAGCTCTGGAGCTGGCACACATTCAGACTCTTACTTAAGCAGACATTAACAGGGTGGATCATTGCTGACGAGGGGGTATGAAACCATTTTTGCAATAAAGGAGGGTCTTTTTAAATCTGTACTATTACGCCAACACCCACAGTCATTCTCCAACGACTCCACCCTCTCAACTATAAACTAAACAGTCATACAGTATGTTTTAACCTCAAGGCACCTAATGAGGGAAACAGGCTACATACTAAATCCCTAAACTCCTCTCTAACATCGAATTGCAAAATTGTTCTTAAACTGTCTAGATACCAAACATTTTATACAGCAGGAGGCTTTAAAGAAAGAAAGAAAGAAAGGAAGGAAGAAAGGCACAAAGATGTTCTGGCTGTATGTGTTAAGAAACGATAGTCCAGAAAAAGGAGGGATGGGAAAAGCTGTTAAATCCACCAACAGACCGTCTGGACTTAGAGGGCTTCACAGCACTGGCCATGAAATCTCCAACACACCACTGTCAGCTGGCAGGAGTCTGCACGCACACACACTCACACGCACACACAAGCAGCCCTGGGATTAATCCTGCATTTGGTTGGCATCCACCAGCAGGCTCATGTAGATCCAGCTGAATATCAAAACATATTCGGAAGGGATTTTTCAGGACAGGAATTAACAGCCGCAGAACCTAAAAGAGCTCAGATAAAAACACTACCTCCAAATTAGGACCAACAGCTTTTTCACACGCAATGATCACTGTTAGGAACACGGGGAAATACCTCCTTTTAATGTACATACTATAGATTAGCTACACATATGACTGTAGATGGAGAAAAATGCAGAAGAAGGTGCTCTCAGTTTAATGTACTGAAGCCGCTTTAATGTCAAAATCTAGAGCGTTTCCACATTGACACAGTGATAAAGACACTTCAAAGTTTGATAACAGAACTGACCTTGGATGCTTGAGGTTAACAAACAGGATAAAACATTTCTGGGGAAGACGTCCCAGTAATTTAGAGACTTGGGGGAAAGTTATTTGAGGTCATTCAGCAAGAGACTCTTTCACTTCTTAGAGTTCATTCAAAGCACTAAACACGGAAAAGTACTAGCCCATGTGTAAATACATAATGCAACAAACCTATAAAATATGAAACTTGTTTGAAATATTCATTTCAGTGGTCAGAAGGAAAAGACTCACACTTGGGCTAGCTGCAAGGGGGCTTTAAAAGCACAGGAAAAATCTTACTCCTTGTGAGGCTAAATATGGACAAACAGGCTGTAATCAATCAGCGCACACAAACCTT